TGAGCTTTCTTTATCAAGCTGGATGCATTCTTAAACTTCACTTTGTTCTGAAGAAAATTTGGTCAAATCTCCCTCTCTCCCTCTCCCTCTCTCTCTTCTCTCTCTCTCTCTCTTCTTCTTCTCTCTCTCTCTTCTCCCTCACTCCCTCTCTCCGCCTCTCTCTCTGCCCTCCCTCCCCCCCCTCTCGCTCTGCCCCCCCTCTCGCTCGCTCCCCCCCTCTCTCGCTCTCCCCCCCTCTCCTCTCCCCCCCTCCCTTCTCCCCCCTCTCGCTCTCCCCCTCTCCAAGTCTCTCGCTCTCCCCCCCTCTCGCTCTCCCCCCTCTCCTCTCGCTTCTCTCCCCCCCACATCTCTACGCTCCCCCCCTCTCTCTTCGCTCTCCCCCCTCTCTCGCTCTCCCCCTCCTCTCTCACAACCCCTACCTCCCCTTCCCTCCTCTCCCTCCCTCTCTCTCCCCCCTCTCTATCTCTCCCCCTCTCTCTCCCCCCCTCTCTCTCCCCCCCTCTCTCTCTCCCCCCCTCTCTCCCCCCCCACTCTCTCTCCCCCCCCTCTCCCTCTCTCCCTCCCCAACCATCCGCATCCCCCCCCTCTCTCTCGCCCCCCCCCTCTCGCCCCCCTCTCTCGCCCCCCCTCTCTCGCCCCCTCTCTCTCGCCCCCCCTCTCTCGCCCCCCCCCTCTCTGGCCCCCCCCTCTCTCGCCCCCCCCTCTCTGGCCCCCCCCTCTCTGGCCCCCCTCTCTCTCTGGCCCCCCCTCTCTCTGGCCCCCCTCTCTCTGGCCCCCCTCTCTCTCGCCCCCTCTCTCTCGCCCCCCCCTCTCTCTCGCCCCCTCTCTCTCGCCCCCTCTTCTCTCGCCCCCTCTCTCTCTCGCCCCCTCTCTCTCGCCCCCTCTCTCTCGCCCCCCACTCTCTCGCCCCTCTCTCTCGCCCCCTCTCTCTCGCCCCCTCTCTCTTCCCCCTCTCTCCCCTCTCTCTCTCCCCCCCCCTCTCTCTCCCCCTCTCTCCCCCCCTCCCCCCCCCCTCTCTCTCCCCCCTCTCTCTCCCCCCCTCCTTCTCTCCCCCTCTCTCTCCCCCCCCTCCTTCTCTCCCCTCTCTCTCCCCCCCCCTTTCTCTCCCCTCCCCTCTCCTCCCCCCCTCTCTCTCTCCCTCATACATATTTAAATTGCATTGGTATGTTCCAAGGCAGTTGCCAGTTCCACTTACAATATATAGCATTGTTAGCAAACCGCTTCAAACAAAAGGGTGGATCTAAAAAAAACAGCTGCGGGTAGGCTCTATGGAAGAAGAAATACAGAGTCTCTTCCACAAAAGAATCTTTTTGAATTCAAATCACCCACTTCTCTGCTTTTTGTTGCCTTTTTGAGACATGTTCTGTTTGAGACACAGTATGCTTTCACATAAACAAATGTATTCGCGTTTCAAGTAAAATGTAGTTGTGCTACATGCACATGTGGTTTGGCCCATCAACGTCGAATCCTGGCATCTTCAGGTGCACAGGTACAGCATCTAGCCCTCGCTGACAGCAGCCTGTCAAAATGGCTGTCAAGACAGGCTGAAATACTCAGCTTCTGTATGTGGCTGGACACTGTACCCAAGCGTTACTTGCATGTAGGGCCATATGCATTTAGGAATGTATGCCTTGAACACAGGAATTATGCATTCAGTACAATAGTGCCTGAATACATAAGACTTTAAATGTATCGCATCGCTCAGCACAGTGTCCAACCACTGTATATTTCATAGTTATTGACATGCTGATGGCAGCGGGACTTTACATTGCACCTTTGCCTCCGGGGCGCCTGAAGGCGTCGGGATTTGATATTGGAGGGCCAAACCACCCATGCGCATGGCTTAATCTGGATTACATTTTCGCACAAATTAGAAGACTATATATTTCTGTTGTTTGTTTTAGCTTTACCTACAGGAATGCGAATGTACTTTTACATTTTAGTGTATTTATAGTTTAGTATTTTTATAATTCTCTAGAGCAAACACCACAGTAAAAACATGAGAGGTTCTTATTCTTCAGAGACTTTGAGTAAAAATATTTAGTCCACCTTTCCTATGCTCCTAAATTAACATTGAAATATTCTGCATGAAAGCTGTGGCCTCCTCCCATCTTATCTCCCTCTGGCTAAAGTGTTTTTTAGTGTTAAATGGGGCCACACTTTCAGTGTCTCTCTGGTCTGAGTGTCTCCAGTCTTGGAGTATGACTTAGGGGCCCACTATGCAGACACAGCCAATCCAGAAGAAAATTTCAGCATTGAGGCAAGCAGTATTTGTATGGAGGTGTTCTAGGTTAAGATTAGTATGACCAAAGCTTGTTTGGCCACACTTTTCTATTGTGGATCACAGGAGGGAACTTACTAGTGCTCTCCTGTAACCCAGAATCAGCCTGCAGCAGACAGAAGCCTGCTGTCGGCTAACCTCACAGAGCTGCCTCAGACTTTTGGAAGGATCCCAAAAATGTCAGGTTCCACCTAGATGCCTGATCAACAGTTGTCTCTGCTTCTTGGCGCACGGCTAAGAGCTTGAGCCAGCTGTTCCCATCCTCTCCCCCACCTGGCGCTCCACTGAGCACTGGAGGGGCAGAGCAGAGAGCGGTGACTGACTGTCATTGCTCTCTGATTGGAGCAGACCAATCAGCGGTCTTGTAATTGTTCTGTTCTCTAGAAGCCAGTGGGGGACAGCTGCAGCATAACACGGATGCTGAGGCATGGAAGGAAGTATGTGTAATTTTTTTTATGCATTTTATTTATTTTTTACACACCATAAACTTCTGTTTTAATTAGGAGGAATAGGGAGGGTGGACTAGTATACCCACAGTGCCTTGAAAAAGTATTCATACCCCTTGAAATTTTCCACATTTTGTCATGTTACAGCCAAAAACGTAAATGTATTTTATTGGGATTTTATGTGATAGACCAACACAAAGTGGCACATAATTGTGAAGTGGAAGGAAAATGATAAATGGTTTTCAACATTTTTTACAAATAAATCTGTGAAAAGTGTGGGCGTGCATTTGTATTCAGCCCCCCGGAGACAATACTTTGTAGAACCACCTTTTTGCTGCAATTACAGCTATAAGTCTTCTTGGGGATGTCTCTACCAGCTTTGCGCATCTAGAGAGTGAAATTTTTTTTCCCATTCTTCTTTGCAAAATAGCTCACGCTCTGTCAGATTGGATGGAGAGCGTCTGTGAACAGCAATTTTCAAGTCTTGCCACAGAGTCCCAATTGGATTTAGGTCTGGACTTTGACTGAGCCATTCTAACACTTGAATATGCTTTTTATCCAAAACCATTCCATTGTAGCTCTGGCTGTATTCTAAAATAAACATTCAAGCGAGCGCTTATTAAAATAAAGATACAAGCAGCTTGCATAAGGAAAAACCTCTAAATCCTTAACTTCTAGATAGATCAGAGATGCAGTGCTAAAACACATATGAATATCAATATATCTCGCATAAAAATAAAATGCAAAGTGACAAGTGATAATAAACAAATCAGAGCGCTGAGGATGAGCGCAATAAAATGACAATAGTGCATTGTCTTAAATTAGACTAACAGGTAACGCAGATATATTGATATTCACATGTGCTTTAGCGCTGCATCTCTGATCTAGCTCTGGCTGTATGTTTTTAGGGTTGTTGTCCTGCTGGAAGGTGAACCTCCGCCCCAGTTTTAAGTTTTTTGCAGACTCTTAACAGGTTTTTTTCTAAGATTGCCCTGTATTTGGCTCCATCCATCTTCCCATCAACTCTGGCCTGCTTGGCTGTCCCTGCTGAAGAAAAGCATCTCCACAACATGATGCTGCCACCACCATGTTTCACGGTGGGGATGGTGTGTTCAGGATGATGTGCAGTGTTAGTTTTCTGCCACACATAGCGTTTTGCTTTTAGACCAAAAAGTTCAATTTTGTAATCATCTGACCAGAGCACCTTCTTCCACATGTTTGTGTCCCCCCACATGGCTTCTCGCAAACTACAAAAGGGGCTTTTTATGGCTTTTTTTCAACAATGGTTTTCTCCTTGCCACTCTTCCATAAAGGCCAGATTTGTGCAGTGCATGACTAATAGTTGTCCTGTGGACAGATTCTCCCACCTGAGTTGTGGATCTCTGCAGCTCCTCCAGAGTTACCATGGGCCTCTTGGCTCTTTCTCTGATTAATGCTCTCCTTGGCCTAGTTCTTGTGGACGGCCATGTCTTGGTAGGTTTGCAGTTGTGCCATACTCTTTTCATTTTCAGGTGATGGATTGAACAATGCTCTGTGAGATGTTCAGAGCTTGGGATATTTTTTTATAACCTAACCTTGCTTTAAAATTCTCCACAACTTTATCTCTGACCTGTCTGGTGTGTTCCTTGGCCTTCACGATGCAGTTTATTCACTAATGTTCTCTAACAAACCTCTGAGGGCTTCACAGAACAGCTGTATTTATACTGAGATGAAAATACACACAGGTGGACGCTATTTACTAATTAGGAGGCTTTTGAAGTTAATTGGTTCCACTAGATTTTAGTTAAGGGTATCAGAGTAAAGGGGGCTGAATACAAATGCACGCCACACTTTTCACATATTTATTTGTAAAAAAAAATGTTAAAAAACCATTTATCATTTTCCTTCCGCTTCACAATTATGTGCTACTTTGTGTTGGTTTATCACATAAAATTCCAATAAAATACATTTACATTTTGGTTGTAACATGACAAAATGTGGAACATTTCAAGGGGTGTGAATACTTTTTCAAGGCACTGTATTACTAAGAGCTGACTCTTTAAACAATGGTGGGAAAAATGATATGGATGGGGGCACAAATAATTAGGTGATATCAAAATTTGTTCTAAATGAATATGTCATTTCTCTGCTTTTTGTTTTTGTGCTTATTTGGCATCTCATTTATGACCACTGTAGGTGTGTTATGGAAAGTTTCACTTTTTACATGAGCATGTATTTTATTTCCAGCGAAGAGTACAACATTGTTAGAACTGTCTTTTTTCATTCTGTCCTAGATGTGAGTGAGCTGAAGGAATGCCTCCATGTACTAGTAAAGGAACAGCAAGTGCTTGCGACACAGACTGCGACCACCACACTCTCTGCTATGAGGCTAAAGCAGAGGCTGGTCATACTGGAGCGTTATTTTATTGCACTAAACAGAACTGTGTTTCAGGAAAATGTCAAAGTGAAGTGGAAATGTAGCATTCTCCCTCCCCCTGCTGCTGAAAAGAAAAGGTATTCTGTCAATAAATATATTAATTAAGCTGTGGGCATTTATTGCCTTTTTTTTTTTTTTTTTTTTAATTTTTGATAAAACCAAAATTCAAGGTTTGAAATTTTATAGTCTTTATTATGAGATACATTTATGTAATCTTTTGTTAAAAATTAACACATGTCAAATCCTTCAGGGCACACAAGTGTTTTTTGTTCCTACATTTAAAAAAAAAAGAAAAAAAGTGGCTTTTTTGCACACAAGGGAGGCACAGCTGTATTGTAGAGCCTTCTGTCAGTAGCCTGTCAAATTCTGTGACAGGCTGAAATACGCAGCAGCTGGATGCTGTTCTGAGCAGTACTCCCCTTTTAGGGCCTATGTGTTCAGGGATGCCGAATTCCTGCATTCAAGAGATATGTCCCTGAAATTATGTAGTCCTAAACGTGAGTACCGCCAGGAGCTGTGTCCTGCTGTCGCTCATTTCAATCATTTCTATCATCGCTTTAGAAAAGGCTGCTGGCAGCAGGCTGTACAATGCACCTGTGCCTCCTTTGCACCCAAAAAAGCCATTTTTTTTTCACTGAGAAAAAAACTGTCCATGTGCACATGCTCATAGCCTATACAGCCAGGTGTTCACATTGTATTAAATGCAAAACTGCCCATGTGTACGTGCTCATAGCCTATACATCCAGGTGTTCACATTGTATTAAATGCAAAACTGCCCATGTGCACGTGCTCATAGCCTATACAGCCAGGTGTTCACATTGTATTAAATGCAAAACTGCCCATGTGCACGTGCTCATAGCCTATACAGCCAGGTGTTCACATTGTATTAAATGCAAAACTGCCCATGTGCACGTGCTCATAGCCTATATAGCCACGTGTTCACATTGTATTAAATGCAAAACTGCCCATGTGCACGTGCTCATAGCCTATACAGCCACGTGTTCACATTGTAATAAATGCAAAACTGCCCATGTGCACGTGCTCATAGCCTATACAGCCACGTGTTCACAATGTATTAAATGCAAAACTGCCCATGTGCACGTGCTCATAGCCTATACAGCCACGTGTTCACATTGTATTAAATGCAAAACTGCCCATGTGCACGTGCTCATAGCCTATACAGCCACGTGTTCACATTGTATTAAATGCAAAACTGCCCATGTGCACGTGCTCATAGCCTATACAGCCAGGTGTTCACGTTGTATTAAATACAAAACTGCCCATGTGCACGTGCTCATAGCCTATACAGCCACGTGTTCACATTGTATTAAAATGCAAAACTGCCCATGTGCATGTGCTCATAGCCTTTACAGCCACGTGTTCACATTGTATTAAATTCTAATGGCACAAGGTTAATTAAAGTGGTTTAAAGGCTTAAGGTTTTTTACCATCATGCATTTTGTGCATGAAGGTAAAAAACTTTGTGTGCAGGAGCCCCCCCAGCCCCCTAATACTCATCTAAGTCCCCTCTCTATCCAGTGATGTGCACTGGAATCTCGGCTATCCCGGGACTCCCTCTTCTCATTGGCTGAGACAGAAGTGGGAGGCATTGGCTCCCACTGCTGTCAGTCATGTAAAGAGAGGGGGCAGGGCTGAGCTGCGGCTTCGTGTGTGAATGTACACACGGAGCAGCAGGTGCACCCATAGCAAGCTGCTTGCTGTGGGGGACACCCGACAGGAGGGAAGGGCCAGGAGAGCCTGTGGAGGACCCGAAAAGAGGAGGATCCAAGCTGCTGTGTGCAAAACCACTGCACAGAGCAGGTAAGTATAACATGTTTCTTAATTTTTCCTTAAAAAAAGTAAGCTTTTTGAATCACTTTAAGTAGCATAACTGTAGCCACATTTACCCAGCTTAAAAAGATATGTAAACCCTGTAATGATTATAATAATAATTGCTTCATTTACTATATATTTTTTACAATTTAGGCAACATAATCTGTCTAAAAAACCTATTCTAAGGTTTTCAGCTGCACATTTATGTGATGTGTAGACATTCTAAATGATTTAAAGCTATTGTAAAAATTCCTTCACATTGCAGAGAGCAGCAAGAAAGTGGTGAGAGTGCTTTATGTGTCCCAAAAAGCAAAAAATTCAATGTACCTGCAGTAGAGGATGCCGTTTCCCTTGATCTCTAGTAGCTACAGTAATCAACTACTGGCTGTGATGATGCAAGATATTTTAACTGGTGGCAGTACACATTAAAGCTATTTTGTTTGTTGAGCGGAACAAAATATATCAAGTTGCATTTGTAGTAAAAATAATGGTGTCATTGCATATTCTAGAACCTGTACAAAAACTTGCTTATATACCCCATGTAATCAATTTAAAGATATAGCTGCATTCACATATACTGGATATTTTGTATATAATGGCTAGAATGTATGTTTATAGGCTATATCTGAAAGAATAGCTAGGAATTATTGAGGCAGCATAAAGAATGATGGTAATGGGAGATATGCAGTAACCAATCAAATCTCTTGTTTCACTGGTACTGCACATTATCACTGCTCTTTGCAGTGGAAAATTTTTAGTTTAATTAGGTTGATGGGGTTTAATCAGGTATACAGTGAGGAACAGAAGTATTTGAACACCCCTGCGATTTTGCAAGTTCTCCCACTTAGAAATCATGGAGGGGTCTGAAATTCACATTGTAGGTGCATTCCCACTCTGAGAGACAGAATTTTTAACAAAAATTCAGGAAATCACATTGTATGATTTTTAAAGAATTTATTTGTCTTGCACTGCTGAACATAAGTATTTGAACACCTAAGAAACAGCAAGAATTCTGGCTCTCAAAGACCTGTTACTGTGCCTTTAAAAAGTCCACCTCTACTCCACTCATTAATCTAACTTAGTAGCACCTGTCTGAGCTCTTTAAAGACACCAGTCCACCCCACAGTCAGTCAGACGCCAACTACTACCATGGGCAAGATCAGAGAGCTGTCAAAAAGACACCAGAGACAACATTGTGGACCTCCACAAGGCTGGAAAGGGCTACGGGGCAATTACCAAGCAGCTTGGTGAATATAGATCAACTGTTGGAGCAATTGTTAGAAAATGGAAGAGGCTAAAGACGACTGTCAGTCTCCCTCGAACTGGGGCTCCATGCAAGATCTCACCTCATGGGGTATCGCTGATAAGAAAGGTGAGGAATCAGCCCAAAACTACAAGGGAGGAGCTGGTCAATGACATGAAGAGAGCTGGGACCACAGTTTCAAAGGTCACTGTCGGTAGAACACTACGCCGTCATGGTTTCAAATCATGCATTGCACGGAAGGTTCCCCTGCTCAAGTCCTCACATGTCCAGGCCCGTCTGAAGTTTGTCAATGACCATGTGGATGATCCAGAGGAGGCATGGGAGAAAGTCATGTGGTCAGATGAGACCAAAGTAGAACTTTTTGGTCTAAACTTGCAAAATTGCAGGGTGTTCAAATACTTCTGTTCCTCACTGTATATGCTGAAATTGGATAACAGAAATGAATGATCTTGTAATAATTACAATCTGGTAATGAGCTTGTATTTTTTAAAGAATTCTGTATGCGTTTACTGTAAACATTTTACTTTGGGCCAGCTGGCTCAATGTGAATTATGCAGATGCTACGTAGAGGTGACGGTGTTCTCTTCTTGCGGGTGCTCCAGTGACTTTTTCTGTATGTATACTAAAGAGTGTCTGGCTCTGGCACCTCTGCTGCTTAGGAGCAGCCTTTTATTCTTTTTTTTTTTTTTCTTTTTTTTTTTTTTCCGTTTAGTGTTTAGGCTTCCTCTGAATTGGTGAGGCCTAGATCGTGATGTCGCGTGCCCACCTACCTCTCCACCTCGGGCGTTCAGTGGAAGCCTTGTATTTGTTGATTGAAAAAAAAAAAAAATACAAGGCTTCTCTTGAGTGGCGGAAGTGCTGCTGTAAGCGACTCTTTATTTAGTATACAGAGGGGAAGTTGGAGCACCTATAGGAAGAAGACATTCCTGTATTTTGCATAGGCTACAACCGTAACAGATTCACCATCGGCCACACAAAGGTGGCAGCTACTTACATATGTTTAAAATAATCATGTTCCTGGAGTTCTTCTTTAATGGTTAATATAGCAAAAAAAATCCCAATGTGAAAAAAATATTAAATTAATATAAAATATAATAACAAACAATGCACAAAGAACTAATGAAGAATAATAAAGTCCATATCGTGAGTCTTTCAATATATAATGATGACTTGTGCCATTCAAACCTTCCTTTTAACCACTTGCCTACTGGGCACATATACCCCCTTCCTGCCCATGCCAATTTTCAGCTTTTGGTGCTGTCGCACTTTGAATGACAATTGCGCAGTCATGCAACACTGTACCCATATGAAATTTTTATCATTGTTTCGCACAAATGGAACTTTCTTTTGGTGGTATTTAATCGCCGCTGGGTGTTTTTATTTTTTTGCTATAAACAAAAAAAGAAAAAAAAAAAGTTTTTCTTTGTTTCTATTATAAAATTTTTGAAACAGGTAATTTTTCTCCTTCACTGATGTGCGTTTGATGAGGCTGCACTGATGAGGTAGCATGGATAGGCAGCACTGGTGGGCACTGATGGGCAGCACTGATGGGCACTGATAGGCAGCACTGATGATACTGCACTTCTGGGCACTGCTGCGCAGCACTGATGGGTGGCACTGCTGGGCACAGGTGGGTGTTGATGGGTACAGGTGGGTGGCACAGGTAGGTGGTACTGCTGGGCACTGATCATCAGAGCCGATCTCTTCTCTGACAATTGCCGGTTATCGGCAGTACTTTCCTCGCGTTGTGACAGCATGAGGAAAGTGCAGCCGATAACCTTCAACTGTATTTACCCGGTGATCTGCTGTGTCATTGGACACAGCTGATCACGTGGTAAAAAGTCGCTGCGATTGGCCTTTTACCACATCACGTGTTTAGCTGTGTCCGTAGGACACAGCGATCACTGGGGGCCTGCAGGGGCCGTGTTCTGGGAGGGGACATCCTCCCAGAACTAGACAACCGCGCTGTTGCTGTCTTTCGGCTATAGCGCAGTTGGGAAGAGGTTAACATATGCAATGTGCCTTCACCAACACCGACATCAGTTGTGCTCTCACCTGAAATTTTTGACCGTACAATTAAGTTTGGTCAAAAATGACTTGCACTTATTAAATGGACATGTATTGGTGGTAAGACCTCTATCAAGACTTTCCTTCACTGCTGATGCAGCTCCTTCCTTCTCCTCCGCTCCACGCACATATAGAAAAATATAAGCAAACCAATAGTGCTTTATTGTTTAAAAACCCACATTTTATTAAAATATACAATGCCCACTCACATAATATGGGGGCTCTGTTGCACCAAATATTGCACAAATGAATACAACAATCCCTAAAACTGTAAGCTGACACCCTCAGGTTCTAATGGATCTCACCGTACTCCTCTCCGTGAGCTCTCTCCAGGCTCTCTCAATTTTTTAAATGATAAAGCACTATTGGTTTGCCTATATTGTTTCTATATGTGCACTGAGCGGAGGAGAAGGAAGGAGCTGAATCAGCAGTGCAGGAGAGTTTTGATAGAGGTCTTACCACCAATATATGTCCATTTAATGGGCTCAAGCCATTTTGACCAAACTTAATTGTGCAGTCAAACATTTCAGGTGAGAACACAACTGGTGTCAGTGTTGTGAAGGCACATTGCATATGTTAAAAGATTTAAATGGCACAAGTCATCATTATATATTGAAAGTATCATGATATGGAGATGGACTTTATTATTCATTAGTTCTTTTGTGCACATTGTATTATATTTTATATTATTTTAATATTTTTTTCACATTGGGATTTTTTTTGCTATTTATATTTAGCATTGGTTAACATTAAGAGAAGCGTGGCACCATCATTGTATGTTTTCTGTATATAGCACATTTTTATGAGTATGTGTAGGTGTGAGCAGCTTTTCAATTTTAATTATTACAGATTTTTGGGATTGCTCGCAGGTTTTCAATTTTTTATAATATTCTTCTTTAATGGTTACAGAGAAATCTGTGGATTTGGATGAACATATAAAGTACCTGCATGTCTATGTATCTGTAAACATGTGCATCTGAAAAAGTGGATGTGATTGTGTTTTGTCTTTCGGTATCCATACATGAACCAAATATTTTAGCAACTTATTTTGCACACAATTGTTGAGTCCATGGACAGGAAACTCCCATTTGCTGCTTATGTATACATATTGTAATTTAGGTTTAAAAATCCTGACCTCTTTTTGGTTTTCCATATGTAGTCTGCTTTGTCTCATTGTAGAATGTTTGCGCATACCCTAAGTTATTTATTCCTAATTAATTTTCTGTTGTCCAGAAGTTTTTTTTTATTTGTATGTTTTGTAAGCAATACCTTCTGTAGTATGGTGATATTTTGCTTTTTAGTTACGTTTCATGTTAGTCTGACTTTGTTTCTGAAATCAGTGGCTTCATCCCTTGCAGTGAGGACAATTCTGAGAATAACTTTCATGTACACAGCTCCCGTCCAGTTGGTCAAGGGGTGGAAGGACTTGCCAGAGTGGGCTCGCGAGCAGCACTCTCTTTTGCATTTGCATTCCTTCGCAGAGCTTGGAGGTCTGGTAAGGAAACTGCTTTAATGCCAATTAGCCAATTTCACACAGATTACATTGTGTTAGATGGAATGTATGGTGCCTTTTATTTTCCTTCTTGCCTTACCAAAATATAACAGGTACCCAATGATGTTATTTCTCATTACACAAGTAAATTAAAACCTTTTACATATAAATATTAAAGGATAAGTTCACCTTTGGGAACATGTTAAATGTTCCACCCGTTTTTAGGGTGGAACACGTAACATGTTCCCATAGCTGCAGCCGCGCCCGCTGTCCTGTCCCTCTGACAGATAACACGGGGAGAAGTTTCCCTGTACTGTCTGTCCAATTTGAAAACCGCGCGGCCATGTGGGCCCACACAGACGCATCATTCATTCACCGACCTCTGTAAATGAATGAACTGCAGGTCCTGACAGCCTTAGCGGCTGTGGGCTTGTAGTTTTCAATGCACTACCACAGTGCTATTGTAGTTCATTGAAACTTCCTGCCAGAATATCTGCTTGGCCGTACATCACTGTACAGCAAACAGATATTCTGACAGGTCTGCAGGAGACCTGCATGGCATCAGCGATCTACTGATCACTGGTGCAATGCTTTCCAGGCTGCTTTTGGAAAAAAATAATAAATGCACTTTTTTTTTTTACCTGCAAAATAATGTGCATTTATTATTTTTGTCCAAAAGGTGAACTTATCCTTTTAATGTTTTGTCTTTTATAGGAACATCTTACTAGTGTGCTGGAAATAAACCTGTTACCACTGTGCCGTTTTAAACATGTTTTAAATGAAGGTTCAGATTAAAGAGACTCCACTAATCTGTATGGATTGATATTTTGTTACCAGCAGCAAGTGTGCAGCCAAACTCGCATTAAATAAAACCCATCAAAAAGCACACCACACTCTGCACTCTGATCTAGTGATTTGTGCCAAGTAATGACTGCTTTCCACAAGCTGTCACTTTGATACGCAAGTATCATAGACACCACATCAACAATGTTTTGCTGTATTAAAAGTTATCTGATTGAAGCAACTGGGAGAGATGGAAAGTTAAGTCTGCAGTAATGTGTTATATATATATATATATATATATATATATTATATACACTCACAGACAATTTATAACTCACAATTATATCCAGAGACCGCTGTTAGCAGAGAATCCTCCTATGCAAGTAAAGATGTTGTCCTTTACTCCTAGGAAATAAGGTATGCTAAGCTTTTGGAACCTGCAGGATAAGTCATCGGCTCCACCTCTCTTGCAGGCTGTTACAGTGGAATCCAACATCTGTAAACTCACACACTGTTGTGCAGCCACAAGACTACCAGCACATCTGCTTCCAGGACCCCTTTCTGGTGCAGGGACTGAAAGTCTTCCAGGACAGACCCAAGGATATAGCAACAAAAAGTTTTAATATATGCATATTTGGATTACAGAGTATCCCTTTTGAATCCCGACCCAGGATTCAGGTATAGACTTCTTCAGACAACCCTGAAGAAGGCTTTTCAGGCAAAACTTGGGTCGAGATATAAATTATGCTTTTAATAGTAATCACTCCAAGCAGATTCAAAGCACAAAATGGGACAGACCCAAGGGTATTAAGACAGACCTTATAATCCAAATGTGAATATATTAAAAGTTTTTGTAGCCTTGGATCTGCACTTATTGTGCTTTGATTCCTCTTGCAGTGATTACAGTTTAAAGCATCCCATCTCTATCCTGAATTTGGTTTCGCCACAAAAGGTTTTTTTTAGAAGTCTTTAGTTAGAAGTAGGGGTATAGGCGTGATGCTTTTTTGTAATCTGAGTATGAGTATATAAAAAATATTTAGCTTCTATACTGGACTGTGTGTTCTTTTATTCCACTTGCAGTGAATTCAGCTGGAGGACTTTCAGTCTGTGCACCAAAGAGGGAGCCTGGTATCATATGTGCATCTGGGATTATGGATGCACAGAAGTTGGATTCTACTGTGTAAGCCTGCAGTGAGAAAGTGGTGCATCTGATCTATCATTCATTTTAGTTAACAGCGGAGCATAGCACACTTTATTTCTTAGGAGTAAGAGGCAATGGAGGAGATTTACTAAAACTGGTGCACTCAGAATCTGGTGCATATGTGCATGGTAGCCAATTGGCTTTTAAATTATTATTATTATTATTATTATTATACAGGATTTATTTAGCGCCAACAGTTTGCTCAGTGCTTTACAATATAAAGGGAGACAATACAGCAACGATACAGTTCAATACAAGAGGGTTAGGGGGGGCCCTTGGAGCTTACAATATAAGAGGGAGGGGCTGGTGGTACAAAAGGTAATAACCGCGGGGGATGAACTGATAGGAGGAATAGAAGATTCCGTTATTAGCTGAAGGTGGGATAGGCTTCCCTGAAGAGATAGAGTTTTTTAAGAGATCACATAAAAGTGGGCAGAGTAGGCGTTAGTCAGATTGGGTAAGAGTGTTCCAGAGGATGGGGGAGGCTCTGGAGAAGTCCTGGAGATGAGCATGGGAGGAGGAGACAAGGGAGCAGGAGTTCGTGTGAGGAGCGGAGCGGTCGATTTGGGTGATATTTGGAGACAAGATTGGTGATGTAATTTAGGGCAGAGTTATAAATGGGTTTATATGTTACTGTTAATGATGTGAATTTTATTTGTTGGGCAATGGGAAGCCAGTGGAGGGATTGGCAGAGAGGGCTGGCAGATATGGAATGGTTAGTAAGTTGGATGAGTCTGGCAGCAGCATTGATGATAGACTGTAGAGGGGATAGCCTGCGATTTGGTAGGCCAATGAGGAGGGAGTTACAATAGTCGAGGTGAGAGATAACAAGGGAGTGAATAAGTTGCTTAGTGGTTTCAGAGGTTAATAACGGGCGTATCTTGGAGATGCTGCGAAGGTAAAGTGTACAAGATTTGGACAATGATTGGATTTGGGGCTGAAAGGACAGATGGGAGTCTAGGATTGCACCTAGTACCCTGGCATGAAGGGAGGGACTGATTTAACTTCAGCTTGTTCAATTAATCTTTGACAATAAAACCTGGAAAGCTGATTAGTTTATATGCAGAGCTGCACCAGATTTTGCACTCTCCAGTTTTAGTAAATCGCCCCCAATGTCTTTACATGCATAGGGGATTTTCTGCTGACATCAGTCTGTGAGTAGTATCTACCTTGCTGCAAACTTTACTCTCTGTTTTTTTCCAGTTGCTACAACTATAAACTAGCGATACAGTGCAATATTGATACTATGCCATTATAGACCCCACAATGACAGAATTTTGCTTCGTTAAAAGTATCAAGTCCTAGAAACTAGGACTTTGTTATTGTGGTGACTACCATACTATAGTATCAAAGTTCTAGTTGCTAGAACCAGATAAAATATGGCACAATATCTATTGTGGTGTCTGTAGTATCAAAGTAACTGTATTTGTAGAAACTAGTTTTATAGTTGACTTAAAGAAAAAAAGTTGGATCTGAGGTGGCGAGCATGGTGTGCTTTATGATCTGTATCAGGTTGAGTAGAACTTAAGCTTTGCCCATTTTCCTTTTCCTGGTGCTATCATGGCAGCATACATGTGGTAGTAGCCCTGTCCACTTTTGCCCACAGGACCAGTGCAGAGCTAGAAAGAGTTAACGCCCACACAACAGCCCATTCCTTTTTTATCCTCCGTCAGTCAGACCTTTGGTGGTCTTCCTTGCAGGTTCAGCCTCTCCTGTAGCACAGTCCTTGACCTTGGGATGCTAAATGCTTTGTTAATGCAGGGACCCCTTCTTTGGATCTTTTGGAGTGAAAAATTGGGTGCCAACTAGCTCCACATACAGCAGTGCAGCCAGGACCATTTTCCACAGAAGTGCTCTCCTTGTCTGGAGCCTGTCTTCGAAGTTGTGAGAGGATCAACGGAACTGTGACATTACATTTTCAAGACCGTTTTATATATATATTTTTTTTGGGGGGGGGGGATTTGTCTGGGAATGTCTTCTAACGGCCATTGTGGAAGGAAAAGCTAAGTGTCTACATGCAAGGGAATGAGGCATAATGTTGAGCAGGTGAATTAAATAGAAATCACATGGGGGCCATCTCTGGTTTGGACAAGCACTTCGCCAGTGGCCACCTTAGAGCAGGGCAAGACTGCATGGAGGCCATCTAGGAAATGGACAAAATGAGAAGGTTGCCAGGAGTTGGAGGCAGGCAGAAGAGTGGAGGAACATGGGTTTAAAGATCCAGTGGTTTACAGATAGGACATTCACAGACTAGGATTGCATGCCATCACACAGACAATGGTAGAAGGCTCCAGCGCACGATCGTCTTGCCGTTCCTAAAGTTAATTTTGAGGGCTCACTATATGGCTGGGCTGCAGCCACCAAAAGTAATTGCTGTATGTTTGACCAGCAGCATCTGGAAATTGTGAACACTGTGGGCACCTTATGCAGAGATGTTACCCAACATGATAGGCAGGACAGCCAATCAGTTTCTCTTATGGGTGCTGTGTGAGTGGTAACTCTTTATAGCTTTGCACTGGTCCTGTGGGCAGATGTAGGTGGGTACCAAATGTATACTGCCATGGATTGGCACCATGAAAAGAAAATTACAATAAGTATTTGATACAATTTTCTTTTTTCTTCTATGTTGCGTTTTTGGGCTGTTGGCAGCCAAGAGTAGCTCCAAGTCACATGGCCGAGGACTTTCTGCCCCCATTTGACTGCACTGGATTTCTGAGAGAAGAGGAGTGACTCCCATGCTCTCTATATCTATTAGTACTAGTATTTTTTTTTTTTTTTTTTTTTTTTTATGGCAGCTGAGTGGAGCAAGGGGAGTATATACAGGTGGGAAGGACGATCGGTAAGGAATAGCTCAAGCTAAAACTTTGTCTTGGATAATCTAGAAAAGTAGTTCAACCTCCATTAATTTTTTTTTACTACTATTGTACTCTCATTGGGCATATTTTCTGTCCCTTCCTGTTCTGGTGAGAACTTTGTCATTAAGACAGGGAGTGAGGGGAATAATGCAAAAGAATGACAGAAAGCTATACAAATATTCTTTTCAGCAACTTGGGGGAAGGCTAGAACTCCAATGTTGCCACCAGGACAGGAAGTAAGAGAAAATTGTCTCAGGGTGTCACTACACAGCAATAGATATCTAATGGAGGGTCTAACCTATACCTAGTATGCCCAGTTTTTATTTATGTATTTATTCATTTTTAATGCAACCATTATAAATATTTGATTTTAGACTTTAAATTGTTAATGTTCAATTGCTGCTTGCAATGCCTTGTACAGCAGGGTCCTGCTGTCAAGTGTGCTGACAGCGATCATGCAGGCAGGAGGAAAGGACAAAGATGACCTCATCAGTCTGCTGCTGCTCTTGTATTGCTAGTGACAGGCTGAGGGTAGAAAGGTGACCTATCTGGGTTGCTTAACCACAGCACACAAAGGTTGGGCCACCAGGCTTGCTATGTTTGGTGGTAGAGCTAGGTCTCAGGACTTGCTAGATAGAATGAAAAATCATTTTGGCAGGTAGATTGCTCCTATATATGTTTTATAACTGTTTTTATTTAGCTACAAGTAGAACATGTTTATAACGCCCACGGTGGTGTTTTTTTTTTTTATTTCCAGTGCTTTAGGATAACGTGCTTTGCAAAATAAATAATATATATATATATATGTATGTATGTATGTGTATGTATGTATATATGTATGTATGTATGTGTATGTATATATATATATATATATATATATATATATATATATATATATATATATATATATATATATGTATATATGTATGTATGTATGTATGTGTATATATATATATATATATATATATATTTACTTATTTATTAGGGGTGTGTGTGTTTTATTATTTAAAAACTAAGAATCTCTTCCAGTTGTCTGTATGTAACAGCCCAAACTGCTTAAGGGCTGGATTTCATAACTGATATGGAGGCAAGACTGAAGGATCAGCTAACCTGAAGCCACTTTTTTAGTTATTGATACATGCTAGAAGGTTAAACAGCCCAGCTGTTTATTATACTGTATGTCCATTCACGTTAGGTTTCCAGTAGTGAGATCTCTGCACTTCAAATCGCACGTCTGCACACGTTCTGTGGCTGTTGTGAAGCATTTCCACACTCCATCTTTACTTTTTGATTAAAGTGGAAGCAAAGGCTTGCTACCAGATTAACTCCCTGCAATATGTTACACCTTATTACAACATTGATATGTTTAAAATGTGTAATTGGTGTTTCTTTCTACTTTTTTTTTTTTTTTTTTTTCTTCTTTGAAACACTTTCCCATAATGTGACCGCATTGCCACTGAGGTTAGACAGGTCCAACAGCTGTTGGACATGTCTATTGCCTAATTGTGTTGTGACTTCCGGAAGTGAGGAGCCAAGCTGGTAGTCATGAACATTGAGGGCATTTCTATAGTAACAGAATGCCAGGCAGAAGAGTAGGGGCAGGTCAAGTGGACAGGGGTGGGGCTGCCTGGAAAGGGGGCCGTCTGGGACATAAATGAGGCTGGGTGGACCTGTTCTGCAGTCCTTACAGGGACACTGACAATGGACTCCAGAAGTGCCTGTGAGCAACCACATTCAGCTGCACAGGCACACCGTTGTTGGTGAAGATCAGGAGAATTGCTGATTGTTTCGGTTATACTATGGTTTTTAGTAGGACAATCCGCAATTACAATTATGCATACGTTTTGTTTATTATACATACAAGGCTAGGGCACATTTTCATTTTTAACTGGAATTCCACTTTAATGTCTTTAATGGAGAAAGCAGGAGTAATAGGAAAACCCTTAGGTAGTCATTAGCCGTTAAACTCCAAGTTGTGCAGAAATGGAGCCAGGATCTATTGTGAGGCAATATCTCCCCTGGAGTCCCTAATAGGCCAGAGGCTGACTTGACCCAAAGACTCCAATTGAAATGAAATGGAACATCGAGTGGTACTTTAAAGAGTTTGCGTAATTCTATTTGCAGATTTGCTTTTAGTGATGTGGTTGTTTTGTGTATGCAGGTGAGGATGCCGATCTCTGCAGTGAACTGCTACAAGAGTCTTTGGATGCACTGCGAGCATTGCCTGAAGCAACACTGTTTGATGAAAGCACGGTGTCTTCTGTTTGGCTCGAAGTAGTAGAAAGAGCAACCAAATTTTTAAGGTCTGTTACTGGGTGAGTTTGCTGTGAATCTTTAATCTGTAAATCTTAATCCAACAGGTTTGCTCTATTTTCTACTAAGCTATTGCTATAATCCTGACAGTTGCTTGATATATAAATGCATGTAGCACAAAAGCATGGACTAAAATGTCACAAAAACATGTTCCCTAAAGAGGAGGTCCAGGCTACTCCAAAAATGTAAAAGTTAGCTACAAATACTATAGTTACTGACTTTTAATATAAGGACACTCAATTGTCCAGGAGTTCAGCGCCGTCACCACCTGGGACTAGTTCTTCACTATCCTCTGGGTTCTGGCATTGCAAGTGATGGAAACTAGAAGTGAAGCCTTGCGGCTTCACAGACTGTTTCCTACTGTGCATGTGCGAGTCGCGCTGCGGCTTGTGATTGGTCCTGTAGTCTTCTGGTACCTTTTGAAATGTCCCAAAAGACTGCAGGGAGGAAGGAATAGGGCCGAACTTCTATCTATCAAAACCAGGTACCTGCTGCTCCCCCCATAAAGTGCCAAATGTGGCAGTGGAGGGGGGAAGAGGAAGACAAGTGGAGCATCCCCCTTTTGGGTGGAGCTCTGCTTTTAATAACATTTGTGCAAATTGCGATATATTATTAATTCAGCAGATACATGAAAAGCAAATTTTGTTAGCTATTAGGTTTAGGCTTTGGTATATCAAAGGCCCTTACATATGGTTGATCTAAGCTGGCTTATCAAAAGCCTTCAGTGCTTTTTGCATTTAAAATGAACCTGTGCACAGATTAACGTTTGGTGACATTGGGGTGGCTTGCGCAGTGCCCCAGAACTCTTGAAATGATTTGCTCTGCTATGCATTTATATTTTTATTATTATTATAATACAGAATTTCTATACTGTCAACAGTTTGTGCAGTTTTGAAAAGAGGAATACTTTGCCCCTGCTCATGGGAGCATACAATCTTAAGAGGGAGGGGCAAGCGATACAAAAAGTGATAACTGTGAAGGGAAAAGTAGAGTTGTACAGTGCTTAAGTAGAGGCAGGATAGGCTTCCCTGAAGAGGTGAATTTTCAGGGATTGCCTAAAGCTGGACAGAGTAGGTGTTGGCCAGACAGATTAGGTTACGGAGTTCTAGAGGATGGGAGCGGCTCAGGAGAAGTCCTGAGGTTTACATGGGGGGAAGTGAAAAAGGAGATGGAAATCAGCAGGACTGGGGAACGAGCAGAGTGAATGGTTTGGGTGATATTCTTAGATCAGACTGGTGATGTAGCTGGGGGCAGAGATGTAAATGGCCTTGTATTTTGCTGCTTTAGTATTTTGAATTTTATAGGTTGGGCTAGCAGAAGCCAGAGGTGGTGGCTACTGATCCACTAGTAAGGTGGATGAATTTAGCAGTAGCATTCATGATGGATTGAAGAGGGGGGCTTAGCCTGCGTAAAGGTAAGCCAACGTGAAGAGAGCTACAGTAGTCGAAGCAAGAGCAACTAAAGAGAAAATTAGTAGCTTTGTGGTGTCAATAGTTCAGAAGGGCCGGATTTAGGTTATGGTAGTGTTATGGAGGTTAAGGTGGCAAGATCTGGTTATTGATTTGCTTTAGGACCTAAAGGAGGAGTCCGATTCTAGGATTACACCTACCACCTTGGCATGAGTGGAGGGACTGATGGCTGTGCTATTGATTTCAATGATAAAGTTGGGGGGTTGGGGCAGAGGAAATATTATGAGCTCAGCTTTTTGACAGATTATGTTTGAAGAAGAGGCGTTACATGCATACTGATATGTTAAACGATAAGTTCACCTTTTAGACAAAAATAATAAATGCACATATTTTTGCAGGTAAAAAATGTGCATCTATACTTTTTGTCTACAGTATATCGCTGATGCCATGCAGGTCTCCTGCAGACCTGTCAGAATATCTGCTTCCCGTACGGGATGTATGAGCAAGCAGATATTCTGACAGGAAGCTTCAATGAACTACCACAGCGCTGTGGTAGTTCATTGAAAACTACAAGTTCACAGCCGCTAAGGCTGTCGGGACTTGCAGTTCAATTTGTGAAAGTCCGTGAATGAATGATGCGTCTGTGTGGGCAGAGCCCTACATGGCCATGCTGTTTTCAAATGTGACAGTTAGTACAGGGAGGCTTCTCCCCGTACATCTGTCAGAGGGAGGGCGGGTGGTGGCTTTGTCTATGGGAACATGCTATATGTTCCACCCTAAAACCGGATGGCACATGTAACTTCCCAAATGAGAACTTATCCTTTAATCAGTAAATTAGTAATATGTGAGGAGATTGAAGAGGTGAGCTGAGGAGTAGTGATAGATTTGGGTGTTGTTGACATAGAATTGGCATTGGAACACATGGGAGGTAATCAAATGACCCAGGAAAGAGGTGTGGAGAGAGCAGAAAAGGGGCCTGAAGACAGAGCCTTGGGGGACCTCAATGGAAAGATAAAGATAGAAGGAGATAGTTGTAGGTGACACTGAAGATCAATGGTTACCTCAGATCCTAAAGTTTGCTTGGGCTCACACTTTCCTCCTTCCTAGACCTCACGATTGGCCAAAAGCTGTGTTAGATTGCCTCGCTTACTTTCTGGTATTGAGGTCCAGAAGGTGGATGGTGGTGAACATTATCTAAGTTTTTAATAAACTGAAGTTGCTATTTGCATAATGGGGTTTCTTTTGAGCTCTGCGTTCTAATTACATTTGCAGGCACCTTTTTGTAAGCCTGCTTTTCAGCCTTGCTGCTGGTTTAACAGCTTTAACCTGTACATTGGTTTACGTATCCGCTTACCTCTAACTCCATGATAAATGCACAATGTTTGCATGCAGGAGGTATTGATCTTGCCTTGGCGAGGAACGTTACTAATTTTGTATAACACTAGATATTAAAGGTTGGGAGGATGTGTGCGGAGAGGCCAGTGACTTTTTTGAGGTCATTTCTGCCTACATTGTGTGTTGTAGAACACTGAATATGTGCATTGGACACACACATATACAATCTGTAGTTGCAGATTACAGTAATGTGTATTGTGGTGTGCCTGAGCTCTGATGGTCATAGGATGACCTTGTCTATGGGAACATTTTATTGTTACCTGTAGATAACAAAAGGCCACTCTAGACAGACATCGCTGAAAAAAAATCAGTTTATTGGATCATTGCATTACAAGGATAGCAAGTGCTGTTTGCTGGCATTATCATTTTGCCTGTATAACAATATTAAAAAAAAGAGGATCAAGGGGAGTTATAATTTAACAGATACTTCACAGATACTTGCTGTCCTTTTAAACAGAACCTTAATGCAGGCCATAGACGGGTCAAAAATTGTCCAATTTTCGCACCGTTAGTGGGTTAATTGGTCGGCCGTTTTTCGGGATTTTGGCACATTTTTTTATCGGTGAAGTTGGAAAAAAAACCCGCCTATTTTGCCGATCGGCCGATTTTTCCCGGCAATGATGAGCAAATTGGCCGATCTTTTTACCGATAAAAAATCTGCGCATGATCCGTGACCTGCAAGAAGAAGAAAAAGAATAAGAATTCTAGTCCGCTATTATATTTTGACATGAAAAAGTATTGCGGTTGCAACAATGTATCTTATTTGTATCTGAATAAAAAACATCTGTATCCAAAATGGACACAAATAGATACATTGTTGCAACCGCAATACTTTTTTCATGTCAAATATAATAGCGGAGCTCTCTGCAGGGACAGAAGTAATTAAATGTGGGCCGTAGACGGGACGAAAATCGGCCTTTTTTTTTTTTTCTGTGGTAACGTTGGACTATTGAACGACCGATTTTATCGTGTTTTTTTTTTTTTTTTTTTTTTTTTTATTTTTAAAACGGCCGGTTTTCGACCTGTCTGTGGCCTGCATTACACTTTGTAAACATTGTTTTTCTGTTCCCTAATGCATTTTGATGTGTATTTTGTTTGCTGAAGATAAGAACAGGGACGTTTGGCATTACAGCTTCATTTCAGACATTTTAAAAACCACATACTCCTATTAAGAACTTTTACATGAACTGTGTACATATTTTGATGATGGCTTTTGGCTAAACCAGCTATGGAGTTTTTGGGTCTTCCTCAGATCAGCAGATTAGGCAATAGTGATTTCTATACATGTTTTAAAGCTGCATTTCAGACAGAAATTAAAATGTCCATATGAAATACACACAAAAGTTGTTTTATGTGCCAGAAGAATTTGTATTTCTGTCCATTCAGTCCTGTGACTTAAACGGCACTGCCATGCAATTCAGTCCTGTCTGGCAGCGAGTGGAGAGCTGATCGTTCTCTGCTTTCACTTACAGGTCTGGTCTCTGCCCCCATATTTGTGACTGGAGAATGAAAGGAAAAGCAGCAGACTGATGAGCTCATTTCTGTCAGTCTGCTCTCTTGTCAGCATTCTGCTTGCAGCGATTGGCTCATTTTGCTGCTTTTCCCTCACCCTTTCTGAGCTCTGCTCTACAGGGATTGCAAGAGGCTAATGAATATGCAGATACACATACGGATGTGTTAATGTTTATTAAGCTGTGTTGATGTGTCTTTTATATCTGCCTGGAGCTCAGCTTTAAGACCCCATCCATACTTGGGTGTGTTGAACGTTTGTCGCACTGCTATCGCATGTCACCTTAAAGAAGCTCCTGCACATCTTTTGGGCAACACATTTTGCGCAATGCTGTTTGCCGCGATTGCAGCACGATTTATCGCACAACGTTTGCGGCAGAACTGAACCGTGTTTTTTTTTTTTGGGTGCCATTAAAATGAATGGCACCTGAACGTGCAGTTGTAAAATTTGTTATTTTAACAGTTCATTTTCAAATCGCAGGCAGAATCGCAGTAATTCTGCCCGCAATTCAAAATGCCCAAGTGTGAATGGGGCCTAAGACTACAGTTCGGTCCCTTCACACTAGAGCATTTTTATTCGCAGGCAGAATCGACACGATTCTGTTCTCGATTTCAAAACGCTCTGCTAAAATGACAGATCGGGTGCCATTTATTTATTTATAAATTGCAGCAAAATGCATCGCACGCCGCTTCACACCGTGCATATTGTGGCATAACTGTGCTGTATTTTCTGGTGCCATTAAAATGTATGGCACCTGAACATGCGGTTCTGTGAGTTTGTCCATTTAATGTAATGTATATATATATAAGTATATTTTCCATTTAATGTATGGTACCTGAACATGCGGTTCTGTGAGTTTGTCCATTTAGTGGTGTTTTGAAATCGTGGGCAGAATTGTGCGGATTCTGCCTGCGATTCAAAACTCCCTAGTGTGAATGGGGCCTAAACTCTTGACTTCTCTTTGGGCTGAGGGGCTGAGATCAATTTTCAAATAAGGCCGGACCTCTGGTGTCTGCTGAGTGCAAGCAAATGCTTGCTTTTGTGATATGAGTATATTTTCCTGTTCACTCACCCCCCCCCCCCCCCCCCCCAAAAAAAAAATGGCAGGAGTCATTGCACTTAAGATTGCATGTTCCTGCTGATATGTCTTCCTCATCCATCTTTCACTACTTGGGCAGTGGCTGAACTTGAGCAAGCATATCGGGCATTGCCTATTATGCTCATACTTGCTTCAGGCTCATAAAATATTGACACAAGGATAATGGCTCAGGAGCTGGTGGCATTTCAGTAATCAGCAATGGCATCTCTGTATTCCTATCAAGAACTGCTGTTTGAAAGTGGAAAACATTTTTTTAAAGTGAAAACAAAATGGGGACTGCTTAGAATCTGTAAGGAGTAATGATATTTGTCTGTCCTTACAAGTAATGTGATCCCCGGGATATGAAGTAAGGGAAAGTTTCTAGAGCAAGCCCCAAAGTTCAGCAAGGTTTTTGGAAGAGGATTCAGTAGGTGAACTGCAAGTCTGCAACATCAGGAAGCCCTGTAATTGCCTCGGTGTCACAACTGTTGAGTTAAGATATCAGCCACATAGCAAGTGCATGGTTTTCAGCCAGTTTCAGACTTGGATTGTGAGATACCACAGTAAAACCTAACCTTAACCGGAATTATATAATGAGCAAATAATATCACACAGTGATGACATTACTTACATCAAGGAGAAAGTGTTTTTTCTATGCAAATAAGGGATGCTTTCCTTTTCACTGGGGAATTTTCAGTTTTTATTGGTAGCTTAGTCTTGCTATTATTAACCTGTACATGATAAAAGTTGTCTTTTGCTAATAGATCTGTGAATTTCTATTTTTATTGCAGTGATGTACATGGTGCTCAGAGTCCCAGAGGTGCTGGAAACATTCCACTACAAGACCAGCACTTAGCGCTTGCCATTTTACTAGAGCTCGCTGTGCAGAGAGGCACCCTAAGGTCTGTAATGGATTTTTGCTTTTCTGTGTGTTATTACTGAAGTATAACATATTTTGACTTTTACTTACGCCACCATACGTCTGTCATACACAGCTCAATACCTACAAGTGAGGCTTTAGACATTAAGCAAACCTGAAGTTTTATATACACTACTTGACTAATCCAGCTTTGTTTCTGCATAGGCACCTTTTGGTGGACCTATTGCTCTGCTGGTAAGCCAACAGGGGAGGGTTAAGAGATGGATAGACTCATCGCCCAAAAAAACCCAGAAAGTAAGTTCATATGAGAGCACTTGGGTATTCCGAGCTCTGTACCGAGAGGAGCTGAGGTGCCGTTTTTTGCTGACAGTGCTGCATTTAGCAAATATAAATTTCAGCAAAGTAGGAGTTAAAATAAAATATTCATAGGTGGTTTCCTAGTACAGGCATATCTCAGTTTATGAATTGAATTTAGTTCTGCGGGACTTTTTGTATAGTGAAAAATTTGTACATTGAGACATAGTTTCCCATAGGAAAGCATTGAAAACCAATTAATCTGTTCTGGAGGTCACAAAAAAGTAAATGCTACTAAGATGCTGCATGAGTTATTTTATCAAGTCATGCGGTATTTTAGTAGTGACAACCATGTGTTAATGTTTCAGCTGTCAGCAGGGTTCCCCACTGACAGATGAATGTAAAAGAATTTCCGGCAAGCAATTAAAAAAAAAAAAATAAACGGTGTGGGGTCCCCCCTCTCATCCATGCCATGCCCTTTGGGTGTGGAACGGATTTTGAAGGGAACTCCCGCGGCCAAATGGCGTGGGGGTCCCCCCAAAATCCATACCAGACCCTTATTCGAGCATGAAGTCCGGCAGGTCAGGCAAGAGGGGGGACGAGCGAGCGCCCCCCCCCCCTTCCTGAACCATACCAGGCCACATACCCTCAACATGGGGGGTGCTTTGAGGCACCCCCCCCAAAGCACCTTGTCCCCATGGGGACAAGGGCCTCTTCCCCAAAACCCTGGCTGGTAGTTGTGAAGGTCTGCGGGCAGGGGGCTTATTGGAATTTGGAAGCCCCCTTTAACAAGGAGGTCCCCAGATCCCCCCCCCCCATGTGAATGAGTATGGGGTATATGGTCCCGATTACTCATAAACAAAAAGTGTAGTGTGAAAAAAGACAGGACATAGTCTTTGACAAGTCCTGTATTAAAAGAAAAAAACTAAAAGAATGTCCCCCACAGTAGATCCAACGTCAATTACGATGCCCGCCGCCACCGACCCGAAAAAAAGAATAAAAAAAAAAAAACCCAATACCTATTTAAGAACTGTCAAACCACCGGAGCAGGCAGACGGCTGGAAGCCATCGTCGGAAGTGGAGGCTTTTTTTTAATTCTTTTTTTCGGGTCAGCGGCAGGCATCGTGATTGCAGTTGGATCTACTTCTTTCTTTCTTTTAGTTTTTTTCTTTTAATAAAGGACTTTTGTCAAAGACCGTGTCCTGTCTTTTTTCACACTACGCTTTTTTTTTTTGTGAATGAGTATCGGGATCATGTACCCCATACTCCTTCACATAGGGAGGGGGACCGGGATCTGGGGGCTTGTTAAAGGGGCTTCCATATTCCAATAAGCCCTCCTGCCTGCAGACCCCCACAACCATCAGCCAGGGTTGTGGGGAAGAGGCCCTTGTCCCCCCATGTTAAGGACATGCGGCCTGGTATGGTTCAGGAGGGGGGTGCTCGTTCACCCCCCCTCCTTTTCCTGACCTGCCGGGCTGCATGCTCGGATAAGGGTCTGGTATGGATTTGGGGGGGGGGGGCCCCCACACCATTTTTTTTTTTTTTTAATTTTTTTATTTTCATTTTGGTGTGGGAGTTCCTCTCAAAATCCATACCAGACCCGAAGGGCTGGGTATGGATGGGAGGGGGGACCCCACGCCATTCTTTTATTTATTATGATGCCGGTTTTTAAATGTAATTACCGCTTTTTTTTTTTTTTTCTTTCACTGTAGCTCAGAGATTTAGCTGTCTCTTTCCCCCAGCTGAAAGAAAGTTTCTTTTTAGTTTATTTCCCCAAGTTAAAAGAAACAATGTTTCCTTTTAGTTTCTTCAAAGAAACAAAACTTCCTTTAACTCCAGGGAAAGGGATAGCTCTGTGAGCTATAGTGAAGAAAAAAAAAAACCCGGCAATTGCATTTGAAAATTGGCACCGACATACACTTCGTATTGCGAAAAAAATTTGTAAAAAATTCATAAAGCGAGGCATTATTTCCAATGGATTTTCATTTGTAAACCAAAAATTACGTTAACTGAGGCGTTTGTAAACCGAGGTACACCTGTACATTAAAATATATAATGTGTATATATATTATAGGAAGTAAAGTAGGAGGCTAAACTGGCCATACACCTTTTTCCATCTCTTATGTCCCGGACGAATCTCTGTTAAAATGCCGAACAATGCCTGCATCTCTTTTGATGCAGACGCACCAATGAATGCCTGCATCCAACAACCATTTTTCGCCTGGCTCCCTTTTGCTCGCTCTTTCTTTCGTTCGCTCTTTCTTTCGTTCGCTCTCTCACTCTTTTTCGCTCTTTCTTTCGCTCGATCGCTCTTTTGCTCGCTTGCTGTTTCTTTCGCTCGATCGCTCTTTTGCTCGCTCGCTATTTCTTTTGCTCGCTCGCTATTTCTTTTGCTCGCTCGCTATTTCTTTTGCTCGCTCGCTATTTCTTTTGCTCGATCGCTCTTTTGCTCGATCGCTCTTTTGCTCGATCGCTCTTTCGCTCGATCGCTCTTTCGCTCGATCGCTCTTTCGCTCGATCGCTCTTTCGCTCGATCGCTCTTTCGCGCTCGATCACTCTTGCGCTCGATCACTCTTTCGCTCGATCACTCTTTCGCTCGATCACTCTTTTGCTCGATCACTCTTTTGCTCGATCACTCTTTTGCTCGATCACTCTTTTGCTCGATCACTCTTTCGCTCGTTCGCTCGCTTGCTCGTTCGCTCGCTCTTTCTTTCTTTTGCTCTTTCTTTCTTTCGCTTTGTCTGTGGCCATCTTGGCCAGGGCTAATAAAAGATGGGTCTGTTGTATCAAATGTGTCTTGGTAATGAGAAAACTGATAATCTATGGTTCACAGTTATTGTTATGAATATATATTTGTTGTCTCTTTCATTCTCTTTAATGTGTCTCTGTCTATTTTGTGTTTGGCAGCCAAATGTTATCTGCTGTTATGCTGCTACTTCAGCTCTGGGACAATGGAACAAGGGAAACTGACAATGAGAGGTCAGCCCAGGGAACCAGTGCACCTCTTCTTCCTTTATTACACAGGTTCCAGAGCATTGTGTGCAATAAAGATCTTCATAACATGGAAAAAGAGATTCAGGTCAGTTTGAATTATTAACTTGTTACCTACCAATAAGAACGCAATGTAGGAAAAATTATAGTGTTAAATATATACGGATTTAGAGATTGATTGCTGATTTCTTGAGAACTTCTGCTGTTTATTGTATACATATTCCAACAAATGCCAATAGCCACTTATTGCTTAAAGTATAGTGTAATAGTTCTTGCTGTGACATTTTTTTAAATAGAAGTGGAGTAATACAAAGGTCACAGCTTTTTTTTTTTTTTATATATAAATGCTAGGAGTGACGTTTTAAAGAATTTTGCCATGTAGGCTGTCATTGTTGATCTCATCCTTTTAAAAATGGTTTGTTGCACCTTTCTACTGCTTTGTTACTTTCCAAACCATCCCTGATTTAAAACCACATTTGCTCTCTTTAGGTCTTTTTAACACCTTCCCACGGGTCATGTGCTTTTTTTATGTGGCCAAAGGGAGTTGCCTATGCTGGGCTGTGCTGGAAGTGATCTCACTTGCGTGTACCCAGCACTTTTATCGACCATCCCTGAATCTCTAGCGATGATCAAGAGCTGGTAGAAGAGGCTACCAATAACAGATCACTGCGACATCTTGTTTGGGCCAGTTTGTCTTTAAAAAAAAGAAAAAAAGTGAATCAACATGACATCCAGGCAGCTTGCATTTTTGGAAGGTGGCCAGCAATTGCACCTTTCAAATTTAATCTTATGACAGCTTCCGCAAAACACTGTTTATCAGTTAATGCGTTTTTGGTAGAATGGTATTTGGTGTTGCATGACTGATTCTTTAAAAAACAAAAATGCATTCTTGCTTGTTTTTTTGTTTAGTGCTTTTCTGTGATGTAAATATTCCTTTTCTCTCCCTCCTTTTTTTTTTTTTTTTTTTTTTTTTTTTTTTAGATGCTACCTTGTCCCCTGAGTCCAAATGAAAACTTTTTGAGGTATCTGATCTTGCCTCAGGACAATGAACTAGCCATAGACCTACGACAAACAGCTGTTGTTATTATGGCACATTTAGACCGATTAGCTACTCCTTGTATGCCTCCACAGTGCAGTTCTCCAACTTCTCATAAGGTAAGTTTCCTTCACCATATCTCTTTATATTTTTGTGTTCTTATAGCATCGCTGGGGCAACAGATAGAGGCCAGTTCAGCCGCCTTCACTTTGAGTAGCCTCAATAGCAGAAGAACAAACAAAGGATGTAAAGTGTGTAACCCACAGCAACTAATCAGATTTCATTTTGCTGTCATTGCACTGTAGCGTGACCTAGGACTCTTTACCTTATGGGACCCTTAGCCTAATGTTTTTTGTTATACAACACTTAGAAGCAATTACTGCAAACATGCTATTTCTGTAGCTTTCATGCTACACTCTCATGGACATTAAAGTCTCAGGATTGTTTTTGGCCCAGAGTGGGGCTTTAGACTTAATATTTGCAACTGTAGTCACAGGAACATCAAGCTTCTTGGAGTCTACAATTTTCTTCTTGCTGGTCTATAATTTTCTATCTGATCTTCTCAAATAATGTTCTTTACTTTCTTTAGTCCCTGTTAAGTGTGGTGTACATGATATTAAACAGGGTGACTGCTTTTCTCCATTTAAATAGGCTGGCTGACTGCTTACAAGATTGAAGACATAAGATACTAATTACAGAAACTGTTTTAAATTCCACTGATAGTTATAATGTTTTCTATGGATATCAACAAATCGGTCCAGGCCATTTTAGAATATAGTTGTAGAATAAGGGCCCTTTCACACATATGCGCTTTTGTGCAACTTAGGGCCTTTTCACACTGATTGAGCTTTTGATGCCTTCCTTTTGACTTACAATGAAAGGTGCCTTTTTGGTGTGCTTTTTGAAAAACTGCACCAAAAAGGCACCTTTTATTGCAGGTCAATGGAGAATGCATAACTTTTTAAAGCACAAGCGCACCTGCAGTGTTAACAGTTACAAAGGATTTAATGGGAATAGTTTCCATGCGCTTTTGTTTCCCTGAAAATGTTTTGCAAAAGCACACCAGTGAGAAATGGGACAAAGCAATTTTTATCACATATTCTTTGATTTACGCCATGCCACAGGCATGCGCATTTACATGAGACAATTGCTTAAATGTTAACACTTTTACGGAGAAATGAAGCATTGTTTCAGCTGTAAGGGTACCAATAAATGTGTCCAATTGTGTATTGCTCTTTCTCTCAATAAATCATTCCCTGTATCTGTGAATAGATTTATATTTACTATATGTGCACATACATAAAACATACTTGCTTATACAGCCTAGTAATATGCTTGTCAGTACCTAATGGTAAAGGTTGAAGTTGCAAATCACTACATTAAACAAAGTTTACAGCAATCTCTAGGGTTTCCCATAGATTTTTTAAATATTAAAAATTGTAAACAAAAGTTAGATAAGTTGTATTTTTACCTCCTAATTCCTGCTTGCTGGTGACAGCTGATTTCTTACATATGTACTCCCAAAACAAGCCCTGTCCTTGATATGTAGAGTGGAGAAATCACAATGCATTTTTCTGTCCCTTGCAATTGTACTACAATTGAACACACGAGAACAGAAACAAGTGTGTATATTAAATTTTAACATGTATAGGTGTGCTACAACAAATTGTTTGTTTTCATTTTTTTTTGTTTATTTTTATTTTTTTATCATGTTTGTCATCTGACATATGTCCCAGTTTGTCTGATACCAACAGGGAAGGAAGCCCATTTCTGTATATATGATCTACATATGTAAACTTTTCATAAAATCTTATTTTTTTTTTTTTTCCTAGGGTTCATTACAGGAGGTGATCAGCTGGGGTCTGTTAGGTTGGAAATATTATGCGAATGTGAGTGGCCCTATACAATGTGAAGCTCTTGCTAACCTTGGTGTTACACAGATTGCTTGTGCAGAGAAGTGCTTTCTTATACTCTCCAGAAATGGCAAAGTTTACACTCAAGCTTACAACAATAATACACTGGTACGTTGAAATATTAATAATAAAAAAGATATTTGTTACATTTCATCAGTCGGAGCTTGATTAAGCTGGAAAGCATAGGTAAATTGTTAGAATTTTATATTGTATATAACCGTTAATTAATTTAATAGGCAATAAATGATGCATTTCTTCTTTTGTAGTATCTTAAAGAATCTGACAGTGTATAATGCAGAATGTTAGTTTCGAGTTCAAAAAATAGCTTGAACTAATTTTGTGTGTGTATATACAGTGCTCAGCATAAATGAGTACACCCCTTCTGAAAAGTAAGATTTTAATTGGTATCTCATTGAACACAAGCACAATTTCCAGAATTTGGACAAAATTGAGTTTCGTAGAACATTTGTTTAGCTCATTACATGAAAGGAAGGTTAATAATATAACTTGGATTACTAAATCTTCAGTTTTACTCAAATTAGTTGATGCAAAAATGAATACACCCCACAACAAAAACTACTACATCTAGTATTTTGTATGAACTATAATTTGTAAGGACAGCACTTCCAGGCATGGAATGAACAAGTTTGCGACATATTGCAACATCTATTTTTCAATTTTTCAAGTACGACCTCTTTTAGAGCCTGGATGCTGGATGGAGAGTGATGCTCAACTGATCAGGAGACATACTTGGCCACTGAATCACTTTAATCCTGTTCTTCAGAAATGCAACAGTGGTCTTAGATGTGTGTTTTGGATCATTGTCATGTTGGAAAAGTGCACGACAACCAAGGGCACGGAGTGATGGTAGCATCTTCTCTTTCAACATAGAGCAGTATATAAATTCATGATGGCATCAATTAAATGCAGCTCCCCAACACCAGCAGCACTCGTGCAGCCCCACAGAAGGACACTGCCACCACCATGTTTTATTGTAGGCACCATGCATTTTTCTTTGTACTCCTCACCTTTGCGATGCCATACAGTTTTGAAGCCTTCAGTTCCAAAAACATTTATCTTGGTCTCATCACTCCAGAGTACAGAATCCCAGTGGTCGTCTTCTTTTTTCAGCATGGGCCCTAGCAAAATCTAGGCGGGCTTTTTTGTGCATGGGCTTTAGGAGAGGCTTCCTTCATGGACGACCCCCATGCATGCCATTCCTCTGCAGTGTACGCCATATTGTGTCACAGAAAACAATCATCCCAGTTTGACTTTCTACTTCTTTAGCTAACTGCAGTGAACTTGTGGGGCGATTTTTCTTCAACCCTTCTCATCAAGAGACACTCTTGTTGAGGTGTTAACTTCATTGGACTGCCTGGACGTCTGTGTGAGATGGTTGCAGTTCCATCTTTGTTAAATTTTTGTATCATTTTTGATACAGTATTCTGACTGATAAGTAAAGCTTTGCTGATCTTTTTGTACCCTTCATCTTTCTTGTGTAAAGAAATTATGTTCTTTCTCGGGCCTTATGACATTTCTCTTCCATGTAGTGCCATTGTCCACAGTATGAAATGGGAAGGGGTTTTCTTTAAGTAACGCCCTTTTATAATAAACTATCTGCTGGACACCTGTTTAATGAATAATTAGACTCACCTGTAGCTTTATTCTTGTTATTTAGCTTTGCTGCTAAGATTTTCATTGGGGTGTATTTATTTTTGCAACGTGGTCTTGAATGAATTTGTTAGGAAGAATACATTTTTTTTGTGTGCAAATTAACAAATCTTGTTTGCAATCAATGGCCTCCATTTGTGGGAGTAGTTTGTAGTAGTGTCCCATAGAAAATGCGGATTCTGAAATGAAAGTAAAGGTTTTCTGACAAATCTGGAAGTGTACTCATTTATGCTGAGCACTGTGTGTGTGTGTGTGTGTGTGTATATGTATATGTGTATGTGTGTATATATATATATATATATATATATATATATATATATGTGTGTGTGTGTGTGTGAGTATAATTTAGCTAAAATACTGTTTATTAATATTACCTTAAAGTGGTAGTAAAATCTATTTTTTAACTTGTACCTACAGATAACCCTATAATAAGGCTTACCTGTAGGTACTGTAAATATCTCCTAAACGTGCACCGGTTCATTCGCTCTGAAGGAACAGCATGCTCCTGCTTTTCCTTCAGAGCTGTGTGCTGTAAAAAGTGACTCCCGCGCACAAGCTTGGGAGTGACGTTTTCGCGGCTCAGCCATTCAAGCTGCCGGAGCCCGAGAACCCAGAAAAAGGAACGGGTTAAGATGGAAGCTCATGCTAACACATTATGACTATGCCCTGCAGGGGAAAAGGTGTGGTGTGTGGGTTTTTTTTTTTTCTTCTTAAATTACAGGGTTTACTACCGCTTTAATACTACCTTCTGTTTACTTTACTTACCCTTATTTGTAACTGTGTATTAGACTCAAACATAATCTTGAATATTATGCAGCCCTGTGGATGGTGCGCATCTAGCCAGTGTCAAAGAATCCCTTTTTTTTTTTTTTTTTTTTTTTTTCTGCATACCTACCAGAATATCTACCTCTATTTGCTTCTAATGGGACCATCCCCTTTTAGTTTGTTCTCCACTTCTTTAACCACTCGGTAACCACGCTATAGCCAAATGACGACTACAGCATGGTTACCCGAGCCCTCCCGCGCGCCCCCAGGGATGCTCGCCTGGCGATCACAGCTGATCACATGATGATGTAAAAGGCCAATCACAGCGGCCTTTTACTACATGATCAGCTGTGTCCAATGACACAGCAGATCATGGAGTAAATACAGTTGCCGGTTATCGGCAGCACTTTCCTCACGCTGACACAGTGTCAAGAAAGTACTGCTGAACGGCAGCTGTCATAGAGCAGTGCCATCAGTCAGTGCCACCCATCAGTGCTGCCTACCAGTGACCATCATTGCTGCATATCAGTGCAGCATCATCTGTGCCTCCTCATCAATGCCCATCAGTGCTGCCTACCTGTGCAGCCTCATCAACGCACATCAGTGAAAGAGTAAAATTACCTGTTTGCAAACTTTTATAATAGAAACCAACTTTTTTTTTTTTGCTCTCTTTTTGTTTGTTTAAAGTGCAAAAAAAAACACCCAGTGGCGATTAAATACCACCAAAAGAAAGCTCTATTTGAAAAAATGATAAAAATTTCATATGGATACAGTGTTGCATGACCGCACAATTGTCATTTCAAAGTGCGACAGTGCTGATAGCTGAAAATTGACCTGGGCACAAAGAGGTTTAAGTGCCCAGTAGGAAAATGGTTAAAGAGAAACCTGAGCCCTGGTGTAAAAGTCTTCACTGGAGCTGATTCTTTGTTGGACTTCGGATCCCCGACATGCCATCTTGGATGTGGGAGCTAGCTGTGACTTCCTGATGTCTCACAGACCTTTCCCCACTGCACATGTCTGAGATTGCTCGGCACTTTTAGATTGGTCCTAAATCCTCCTGAGATGTGTGACATGTCACTGGAGGCTGGCAGCGGGCCAGGCTTACATAACTCTTGATTAGATACCTGTCAGAGAAAGGTACCTGTTCCCAGAAAAACAAACACCCATTTTGTTAAAGTAGGGGAGGAGGAGGAGGATGAGTGGAACTTTTGCATTGCATTGGTAGCGTTTTTGTGGAACCCATATCTAAATTTTCTTCTGTTCATTCCTGTCTTTCTACCAGGGACCACAGCTTGTGCAGGGTCTTTCTTCCCGGAATATTGTGAAGATTTCTGCTCACTCTGATGGGCAGCATTATTTGGCCTTATCTGCCACTGGTGAACTCTTTTCTTGGGGATGTGGTGATGGTGGTAGACTGGGCCATGGAGACACTGTGTAAGAAATAATTTTATTGTACTTGATGACTGATGTATGAGGCACGGCTGGTATTTATTTCATACCTCAAACCATATGGTGTTTATACATGTTTTCACTAAAGATTTACATAATTTGCACCCGGTATTTGCAATTTTTTCCAAATCCATTTAGGAAACAGTCTTATGTGAAAACATGTAGACATCCACTATTTCCATTTTATTTTATTATTTATATTTCACGGTTTTACCTGTTTTGGTTTCATTTCAGTTCATTAGATGAACCTAAGCTAATCTCTACCCTGTGTGGGAAGCAGACTGGAAAACAAATAGTTCACATTGCATGTGGCAGCACTTACAGTGCAGCAATCACTGCTGATGGGGAGCTGTACACATGGGGACGTGGTAACTACGGAAGGCTGGGGCATGGTATGTATCAAGTGTTACCGTCAGATTTCTATTATTTACTGGCTCGTGTAAATTGTACTTACTGTGTCATTCAAGATCTTTTCTGTTTTGATTTGATATATTGCATAGTTTAGATGTGACCTAATACTGTAATGGTTTTGGTTTTCCTTCCAAAGGGTCTAGTGAAGACCAGACTATACCCATGTTAGTGACAGGACTCAAGGGATTAAAGGTTGTCGATGTGTCCTGTGGAAGTGGAGATGCACAGACTCTGGCTGTGACAGAAAATGGTAAGTTATATGTTTTTCAATTGATTAGAGAAAGGAAAGTCATGATATTTTCAGTGTACAGCATTATTTAGGGTAACAAATACTTAACAGGATGTTATATAGCCAGTGATTACAACATAACATATAGCCTAAGAAATTTATGGATTGGGTGATGATAGAATTGAGTGGAGATACAGGGATCTCAAATTTTATAGAACCTCTAAAAAGCATGATTAGTTAATATTTCTACACATAGCAGATATGCAGAAGGAGCTATAATTTAGTACTGAGCATTTACACATGGTTATTGCTATGTGCCAAATGCTTGTATGACTGAATAAATTGGCCAAAAGAAAATACAACTTCCTCTTCCTTTCACCATTGGTTTTCCCCTAGGTTCTGTTCTTGGACCCCTCCTATTCTCAATCTACACCTCCTCCTTGGGTCAGTTGAAACCCTCCCATGGCTCTCAGTACCATTTCTGTGCTGATGACACCCAAATTTATCTCTCTACCCCTCAGCTCACTCCATCAGTCTCCACATGCATCACTAATCTTTCTTGTTCTCTTCGTTCCTCCCAAGAATTCCTGCTCTCTAACTCCCTTGTTGCCTCCTTCCATGCTCGCCTCCAGGACTTCTCCAGAGCTGCTCCCATTCTCCGGAACTCCCTTCCCCATTGTGTCAGACCATCTCCTACTCTGTCCACTTTTAGACGATCCCTAAAACTCATCTCTTCAGAGAGGCCTATCCTGCTTCCACATAGCTACTGTACATGTATTTTCTCCCATCAGTCCATCCCCCACAGTTACTCATTTTTTTTATCAATTTACACTCCCTCTTAGAGCTCTAATGAGCAGGGCCCACTGATCCCTCCTGTATTAATTTGTATTATAATTGTACTGTCTGCCCTTATGTTGTAAAGCGCTGCGTAAACTTTTGGCACTATATAAATCCTGTATAATATTAATAGTAGTAATAATCACAGAAATGTAGGTTTTAGTAGACTACTCCTAAGGCCTCATGCATGCTGTGTGTATAAGGACTTGGTGTTTAGTTGAGGGTGGATAGTATTATTATTATACAGGATTTATATAGCGCCAACAGGTTGCGCAGCACTTTACAATATAACGGAAGACAACACACACACACACACACACACACACACACACACACACACACACACACACACACACTTTGAGCATTAATGCATTCCAATGGTCAGAATAAATGAATATTCTGGCCAATGGATTCCATGAACGCTCAAATACTTGATGTGTCTAAATGCATGTGCAATATACGGCTTTAAGTGCTTTTTTTTTTTTTTTTTTTTTTGTAAAGCTGCTTTTTCCTGCCAGGAGTAAAATGTGTTCAGAGGAGAAAGTCAAGCTCCCTGTGTGCATGAGGTCTTAAAAAGCGCAGAGTATTGACTGTTATTTTTTTATGGGTTCCACTGCATTGAAATGCATCCTATTTATTTTTATGTATAGTGATTATAACTCTTCTGCAACCTGTATGAAATCCATGAATCAAACAGTGACTGTTTCCATTTGTGGCTTCGGGATTAGGTGTTCGCATTGTAATAAACCATCTAAGAAGGCAGTAACTGCTAAAATGCAATCAGTAGGAGTTAGATGAGACATGTCAGTACTACTCAATTTAGGGCTTTTGATCCAGGGGTTGTATTTCCTGATGTTATCTACTTTGACCTTCTAACAGCTTCTGGCGCATCTGCATTGGCATGGAGTTGCATGGGAACGTCCAGCCACATGAAAATGATTTAATTTGCATTTACATAATCCACTTAGAGTTGTCCAACCCTTCTGTCCTTCCAGTCTTTTTAGGAAATGGCAATTGCTATAGAATTTTAAAATCTGGTTTCTGATTTGTTTCTATGGGTTGCATTTCTTTTCTTTCTTTTAAAGGTCAAGTCTGGTCTTGGGGTGATGGAGATTATGGAAAATTAGGCAGAGGAGGAAGCGATGGCTGCAAAACTCCAAAATTAATAGAGAAACTTCAGGACTTGGACATAGTAAAAGTGCGCTGTGGCAGCCAGTTTTCAATTGCTATCACCAAAGATGGCCAGGTCTATTCCTGGGGCAAAGGAGACAATCAGAGGCTTGGCCATGGAACAGAAGAGCATGTCCGATACCCAAAGTTACTGGGTGGCTTACAAGGTAAATAGGAACAGAGAAATAAGAAAATAAAAAACCTACTAGACTCACTGTGGCCATTCTAAAATACGATGGAATTTGCCAGTGACCTGTTTCTTGAAGATTCTTATTGTCTTTGAAAATTCTTAAAATTGCTTTTATGAGTGTTTTGGAAGAAGCACTTTGACTACAGCAATGCCTCAGATTCCTCCTGTGACTCTGTGTAGTTCAAATAAAACTAGAGGGGGAGAATTTGTAGAAATGTTTGTGATCGTACCACAATAGCAATACAGAGGACAATAGTATGTTAGATTTTTTGCATCTGTTTCTTCTACATTTATCGCTCTGTTCTAATAAACTAGCAAACCATGTGGCATAGCTTTTCATTAGTTTCAATACATGAACTTCATAGCACTTATAAGCAAACCAAATGCTCCACATCATATCATTCTATCATTCTAACTCTTATTTATATTTTACAAAAAGAGGTAAAAGGGTGTGAAAATGAAGCCATAATCAAGATTTATTTTTTTTATCACGCTAGAAAATCTCTATTGCTGAAACTACGGACCTCTGTTGCTCTTGAGTACTGCGATTTTTAAAAGTTGCTAGGATTTAATCATGCCCTTTCTTCTGATACACTTCTTTTAGTGATTTATTTATTTATTTATTTATTTTTTTCTTTTCATTTTTCTTCAGGCAAGAAGGTGGTTGATGTAGCAGTGGGCTCTACTCACTGTCTGGCGCTAACCGAATCTGGGGAGGTATACAGCTGGGGTAGCAATGATCAGTGTCAGCACTTTGATACATTGCGCATCGCAAAACCTGAGCCTTCTGCTCTCCCAGGACTGGATTCTAAACATATAGTTGGAATTGCTTGTGGACCTGCCCAGGTATGTAGCACATTTACATATACAAATCCTATCAAGCTGGAAATGTATTGGTGTCATTTTAGGGATGTGAAGAGCAGGCTTCTAGGGGTGGGTGCACAATACCGCAT